GAAAGAAAGCGTAGAGGTACATCGTTTCTCCGGTGGAGTAATCAAGTTGAGAGAGCACTTACCGAACTTGATGTACGAAACTGTACGAGTTCAGATGCATTTTTATGTCTAAAAAAGTAAGTAAATAAGATGTGTGTAACTTATTTGGCGAAGTAAGTTATTAAATTAAATTTAATAGGAGAAATATAATACATAAGATCGCATTTTTTAAATTGGAGGAAAATATTTTAGAAGAACCAAAGAATTACAAATCTATAAAACCTAACCTAAAAAACTTCAAGTAGTCGATTAATCTATATGAAGTGTATTAGGCAAAGTTAACTGCTAAAATGTAATTATATGAGTTCAATACAATACAAGACAATACGAGGAGATGTGATGCCTTAAGACGTATTACCTAAACGGCTCAGTTAGACGGTAGGTAGCTTAAAGACTCAGTTAGACGGTAGGTAACGTAAGAAATTAATTTAAAGCGAAATAAACAAAAGCGGAGAACACTGTTTATTTCGCTCCTATCAAATACGCAGGTTTGATTGGTTGTGCATTTCGCTTCGAATTAATTTCTTACGTTACCTACCGTCTAACTAAGCCTTAACTCAGCCTTTAAACGGTGGTTCCTGAAACAGTTTTCTGTCCGGACGAGCGGACTTTTAAGGGCAGTTAAAATCCCCCACTGACTTGGCGAGTTTTTCTCCCATCAAAAAAATATACGAGGAGATCGTTTTCAAAACTTCAAAGAAAAAAGATAAAAAAATAAAAATTGGAGAAACTAAAACTTGTGGAACCATAACGGGTTTTTAATTTTTTAATTTTTTTTTTTTTTTGAAAATCTTATTTTGAAAAAAGAACTTTAAAAAAAGCCAAACGGAAAGTTTAAAACGCTTTTGCAATGCTTTTAAATTATTTTGTTTTTGTAATTTTTAATAAAAAATTTACAAGTTATTTTTTCACTGCTTTAAGTATCAATTTTGAAAAAATACAAGCAATAAAGCTTGATGGACTTTTGTGTTTCGGGTTATACTAAAATCTAAAATAAAGCTCACGGCTTTCGAAAGCATTCAAGCATTCTTGAAGTGCTTCAGCGTAAACAAACGAACAAGTTTGATGCTGAAAGAAAGCAGCGAGACGGACGCAGCGTCAGGTAAGGGCTTCTTGCCGTGCTGCATTGTGCCGTACCGTGTAGCTTAATTTAACTTTTATTTGGATTTATCAAAAAGTGAGCTTAATTCAAACAGGCGCACATCCCTTCTTATACAAAATTAGTTGGCAAAAAAATTATTAAGCTATTTGCAAAATAATCCATAAACTTTGACAAAAGTTCAGTGAAAATAAAAACTTCAGTCTCAAAAGACTTTGTTTGAATTTACACTAAGCAATGTGTGCCAAATGAAAAATGTACATGTCAGTCTTTTGTGGACACTGAGTTGCGTTCGCGCCAAAAAAGCGAAGAAGAAGACAAGAACAACAACTTGTTGCTATTGACTATTCCAATGCAAAAATGGCACTACTCCGGCTACATGTCAGTACATATGTACATACAGTAAAATTATGTACATACATATGTAGGTAGCTATGCCGGACGTTTTTAGACGGATGAGTCAGTCAGTTAGACTGCTGTGGCACATGTGTGATTTTCTGTTTACATTTTACATAATACGAGCACATGTTCGTTTCGATATATTCTGTGAGCATATATTCAAGAAAACAAAAACAAAAACATTCTAAATTTCTAAGCGCACATGCCCCTGCATGCGCAACTGCTAAAAAGGAGAAGCTAACAACAGACTGCGCTGTCTAATGACACCTGACGGCTGGATTAGAAAACTGTGAACATGTGAATTTTATACCAGGCACACAGCAAATACAGTAGGCGAGCGCACAAATCTAATGAAAAACAAATGTTTTGCAATTTGATTAGATGTGTAGCTGTAGCCGTCCGTCCGTGTCGGTGTCAGTGTCGGTGTCGGTGTCGATGTTTTGTACTCCGTGCTGTTATTCTGTTATGCATGGAAGCGCTATACCATACAACAACTACATATGCAGCAGAGGCAATGAGAGACAGACCAGTGTATAGAAATGTTAGCACAGCACACTGAACCGTTCACCGAAAGTACAACGCATGCATAAATTGTTCCCATCCAATGTTGAGGTTGATTGTGACTGCTTTTGCTATTGTGTTGTTGTTGTTGGCTAGGTAGATATACACACATAGCTTTAGAAAAAGTAATAAAATAAAAATTGCAAAGCACAATAAAAAATGGCTGAGTTGCTTTTTAACCACAACAATAACAACAACAACAACAACAACTGACATAATACACGTGAGTACAAGTTGCTATTTTTGTATTTAGTATTTGGCATCCCGCATTTTTTCTCTTTGCTTCTTTGCTTTTATTGAGTTTGCTAGTGTATTAGATGATACGAATAGAAGAGAAAATGCATAAGCAAACAGTCTTTGCCGGCAAGTTGTCATATTGCAGACTTCGTGCTGATTTTGTTGTTATTTTTTCTAGTAGGTATTTTGCTATTATATTTGTTTTTGTTTTTGTTTTCAATTTTGCATGTTTGAAGGTTATTGACAGAAAAGAAGGAGCAAAACAAAAGTGAAATAGTTTCAGTAAATAACACAATTGTGAGGTGACCACACCGAACATAATTTTAGCTGCCCATTTCTGGGTATATAAAATTTTGTTAAGCTGCTGACCATATAAATTAAATTTTATTTTTCAATTTTTAAAGTACATAATCATCTTTAGTTCCTAATATATGTATATATTACATATAAGCTAACATATATTAAATAAATTAATTTAATAATTACTGATTTAGTTAGGCCGTATGCGAGTACGAGTAACTTTATGGTAAATTTAGTTAAATAGTAAATTATGTTGGCATGGCAGCGAATGTTGGTATTTACCAGAATTTCGAACAGGGTAATAAGATAAAAATTAGGTAAATTAAGTAAAAAATTATAAAAATTTTATAAGATGTTTAAAAAATAAATTTAAAAACTTTTAACCAAAAATAATAAATGAGTGCAATAAATAAATAAATAAATATTTACATAAGTGCAATGCCAAAAATCCATAGGAAATTTAAATTTACTTTACCTCAATTAACTCGAACTCGCACACGGCCTTAGCTAGTTATTACAAATATAAGTCGTCTTGTAGTGTATCCAATAACCTCGTCCTTGATGCTAAATCACTTGCTTGCTGTTGTCAATTGGTAGTGTCTTTTACCGACAGCACGTATTACGTTTATTTTGCACTAGCGAGTAAGTATTTAAACATTTTTCTATCTTCTTCTTACTTATCATATATTTATTTTAATATATTAATCTATTCAAAGTAGCAAAAAAATACTTCCAGCTTACAAAAGAAAACATGTGAAGCAACAATAATGCTCTTAAAATCTTTAGAGTTAGGTTTCACTCGTAAAAATTTTTATGCCTTAAGTTTTAGTGCAGTCAAATTCAAAAATCAATCTATTATAAATGTTCGTTGGAAATATGTTGCAAAATTCCAATTGGCCATTAAAATTATATGAGCATTTCATATACCAACAAATTCAAATACATTAATAAATAAATTTAAATACATATAGAGGTTTTTTTGAACAGTAGTGCACTACAACAACAAAAATTTTATTTTTTTTTTATATTATTTCAATTAATTGAATTTTTGGCTGACCCTACAGCTGTTTCGAGTATTGCCAAAT